CTCATCCCTAGACCTTTCCGAGTGCGAAGGCTAACCTGTTGTAAACCCGCAGCTTTGGGTCTGGTCTCTGCTGCTCCCAAGCGGCCCCTTTGGGTACTGCCTGAGCGAGAAGTGCTGGAAAGGAGGACGAGTCATCAATGGGAGGATCAGTTTGGGGGAGACACCCGGTGCAGGAGGCTGAGGGAGAAGGGGAGCACTAAGACCCAGGGGTGGTGGGAGACTGCAGCAACGAGCTGGAGGAGGAGAAGTAAGCCGTGGGGGGTGGGAGCCATTTGGTACCTTGACTGTATTTCAAAACACCATCGGCCATCACAACAGAAATGGCCAGTCAGTCCCAGGGTATCCAGCAGCTCCTGCAAGCTGAGAAGCGGGCAGCTGAGAAGGTGGCAGATGCCAGAAAGAGTGAGTCTCCTCTTTCCTCCCTTAGGAGTCTGGAAAGAAAATTGGGGGCGAGGGACAGCAAACATTCTGGGAAAACCCAAGGCTGGTGGGAAGAGAGCTAGGGTCTGGAGGCTGATTAGGAGAGAAGAAATGGATGGATATTAGAATCTAGCACCTGGCTCGTCGAGAGAAGGCTGTATAACTTTCTGGAAGGGACTGACCCCTGCTATTACATTTTGTGTGTGGGGGTCCACTCCCACCCACTGTCCTTTTTTCTGTCGCCAGGGAAGGCTCGGCGACTGAAGCAGGCAAAGGAAGAGGCACAGATGGAGGTGGAGCAATACCGCAGAGAGCGAGAGCAGGAATTCCAGAGCAAGCAGCAGGCGGTGAGTTGGGGCAGAGTTGGGATGAGACCCCGGTGCAAGTTGGTGGGTGCATCTAGTGAGGTGTGTATGGATGACTCAACAAAAAAATATGGTGGCAGCGGGCTGAGGCTGAGGGGACCCTGGCAGGGATCACATCAAGGAAACTTTGTGATGATATGTAAGAGAGTCTAGGAGTTTTGAAGGACATGTAGAGCTGGTGAGGGGAATTGCCACAGTCTGTGTAAGGTATAACATCTATGTGGAAAATGATTAACACTTATGGTGGAGGGTAGAGTTTTATGGCCATGGATGGTGAGGTGGTGGGGATATTACAGTCTGTTTTAGGAAGAAGTTGCACATCAGGTCTAAGGGGAAAGGGGATTGTGTGGATCTCTCTGGTGTTTGATATTTCTGTGGGATGGGGGTGGTTTCTGAGAGGGCCTTTCTTCCAGGCTTTGCTTCAGGATCTTTCCCTTCATATGCCTGGACCCTTGTCTCTCTGTTTCTGCTTTTCCCTTTCTCTCTTCCACCTCTCTCCCCACCCCCCAGGCCATGGGCTCCCAGGGGAACCTGTCGGCTGAGGTGGAACAGGCTACAAGGCGCCAGGTGCAAGGCATGCAGAGCTCCCAGCAGAGAAACCGAGAGCGTGTCCTGGCCCAGCTTCTTGGCATGGTCTGCGACGTCAGGCCCCAGGTCCACCCCAACTACCGGATTTCTGCCTAGGACCACCGTAGGGCCTAACTCCTTCTGCCAGTTCCTTCCCTCAGAGAAATCCTCCAATCAAAATCACCTCCCACCATAATCCTTGTCTTCTTTCCACCCCCTAGAAATCCTGGGAGGCAGGATTCAGTAGTTTTCATGTGAAACTTATAAATATCCTGCTCACATCTGAATCTCCTTGTTGTTCTTTAACCTTCACTGGGACTTTGTAAACTCTCAAGTCATTCTCACCTAACCCCTGTGTGAAATTGGTAACATGGGGAAGTAGGAATGTGGAAAACATCCTGACCTCAGCATCTGGCTGATGTGGATCCCACTCTTGACTCTGTCACTTGCTGGCTGTGAAACCAGGACAAGCTACTTAACTTGGTACCCTCAATGTCCTCTCCTGTCAAACGGGGATGATAATAATGCCTACCCTGTGAGGGTTGCTTCAGTGATTATGAATTATTCTGTAGAGTGTAGCATAGTTCCTTGCCTGTAGTAGCAGTGATTCAATAAGTAGCAACATTGTGATACTATTACCACACCTGCACACTGGCCAAAACCTACACAGCTATTTCCTCACTTCTATCAGTGGCTCTCTAATTCCACATGTTCATTCTGTGACCTTAGTTATTTTCTGAATAACTGGTTCTTCTTTTTTCCCAGAGACCTTCTGATCTCCTAAAAGAGATGATGACTTCATTTAGCCCCTCTTACAATTCCAGGTAGATAACTGCATTTTGTAGCCTTTGTTTTTCTTATGCTGATCTTTCTCTTTATTGGATTTTCCTCCTTTCCTATTTCCCCAAAGACTTATCAGATACTCACTGCTTTCTAAGATATAAAATGATGCTGTGTCCCCTCATTTGCATGACCTTCCTTTCTACGTCCTTGACACCTTACTTTCCCATTGTAACAATAAAAAAAGTGTCAATAAAATAATTATTGGCAAATAAATTGGTGAGTTGAAGCTGCCTCCTTTTGCCTCATCATTTCTCATTTTCAGCCACTTTCTTTCTTTTTTTTTTTTTTTTTTCCGAGATGGAATTTTGCACTTGTTGCCCAGGCTGAATACAATGGCACGATCTTGGCTCACTGCAACCTCTGCCTCTGGGGTTCACGTGATTCTCCTGCCTCAGCCTTCCAAGTAGCTGAGATTACGGGTCTGTGCCACCAATGCCTGGCTAATTTTCGTATTTTTAGTAGAGATGGGGTTTCACCATGTTGGTCAGACTGGTCTCAAATTCCTGACCTCAAGTGATCCACCTGTCTCAGCCTCCCAAAGTGCTGGGATTATAGCCATGAGCCACCATATCCAGCCTTCAGTCACTTTCTTGTTCCTTGTTTACAAATTCCCTAAACAGCCCAAATGGCTATCCTCTGAAACCTGTTGGAGAAACAAGAACAAGTCCTTTATTATTTCTCTAAACTGAGAAGCATGGTTCCTCATTTGGGAATCTGAGGACTATAGATGGCAACCGTGGAGAAGAGCTGGAGTGTAGGAGCAAGTACTCTTTGCCCCCTTACTTTGCATTTTCTTCATAGCACTTACTGCTACTTGTTTTTTGAGACAAGATCCCGCTCTGTTACCTATGCTGGAGTGCCAGCTCACTGCAGCCTTGTCCTCCTGGACTCAAATGATCCTCCCACCTCAGCCTCCTAACTGAAACCACAGGCAAGTGCCACTATGCCTGGCTAATTTTAAAATTATTTTTGTAGAGATGGGGTCCCACTCTTGCTCAGGCTGGTCTCAAACTCCTGGGCTCAAGCAATCCGCCAGCCTCGGCTTCCCCAAGGGTTGGGTTACAGGCATGAGCCACTGCACCCTGGCCACTTATTGATACTTGACATTATATTTGTGTTTATGTGTTTTCTTCCCTGTTTTGTAAACACTGTGAGAACAGGGTTATTCACTGCTGTGTCCCCAGATGCTAGGACAGCACATGGCACAGGGTAGACAGTTGGTAAATACTTTTGAATAAATTAAATGATACTTGGGAAAGCAGCCCTTTTATGACACCATTCTTGAATCAGCTACTTCATTTTATTACTGAAGATAAGCTTGCTTCACCAAGGATTTGAACCAATGAGGTAACCCCTAGGTATTTAGTAACCAGATTCTTTGAGCACGGAGGCAGAATACAATAGAGAATTAGAGGTGTTTGCATCCTGGCTGTAACCTCACCAGCCGTACTCCTTGGGACATGTTGCTTTGCCTCTGTCAATGAGATGGGAATAACGGTACTTACTCCTTAGTATTAAATGTGCTAACAGGGAGAAGGCCAAACGTTTGTTATTTATGTTACACAGCAGGACATTATGTCTTATTTTTGTAGCTCCCCATGTCAAAGACGGGGAAGTCAAATGTTTCAAGCAGAAAAAAATCCAGGCTGAACAACGGGACTGTTGGGGCGGGGCCAAAAACTTCTGCTCAAATTAACAGAATTAATGGGCCAAGCGATGTGGCTCACGCCTGTAATCCCAGCACTTTGGGAGGCCGAGGTGGGTGGAACATCTGAGGTCATACGTGGGTGAAACCCCATCTCTACTAAAAACACAAACATTTGCTGGGTGTGGAGGCGCCTGTAATTCCAGCTACTCGGGAGGCTGAGGCAGGAGAATCGCTCAAACCCGGCAGGCGGAGTTTGCAGTAAGCCGAGATCGCGCCACTGCACTCTAGCCTGGGCGAAAGAGCAAGACTCCGTCTCAAACCAAAAACAAAATTAATGAAATGTAGTATAACCCTCAGGCCCTACTATTAACACTTAGGGGAGAATCCAGACCCAGTCTCCCGTTCGGATTCAGAACACCTTCCGGACTCACTGGCCCTAGGGATCAGCTACCTAGGACAGCATCGTTTTGGGAAAATGCCGCCCACCAGCCCCACCACAGGGAAAGAGTCGGACAACACCCACGAGTACGCCAGTTCCCTTAGACTTCCCTCAGCTAGGGCCTGCCGTTTCCTAGTGCGTGCACAGCCGCCCTCAGGTCACCTTCACTACAGGGCCAAGGACCCCGTGGGAACTCGCAGGCCTTGCCACTCTCGTTCCTCGCGCGTCCATGGAGGGGTGCCTAGAGAGAAGACCTGCGTGGCAAAAACCTAAACGAAGAGATGAGGGGCATGGAGAAGAGTAGAAAAAGATCAGAAAGATAACAGTGGGAGGAGATGTTAGTTTCCTTTATAACTTTTGTTACTGGCGGTAGCAGGGAAGTTAGAAATGGTTTTAAAACAAATTTCAGACAGGCATTTTCCAAAGGCAAGCCTGGAGCGCGCGGATCCATACAACTGCGGAAGGCCCTGTTTCCGGTCCTTTGCGCCTGCGCTCTTGCAGCCAAGAAGGCGGGAGGCCGCAGTAGAGAGAAGGCTGCAACCGGAAGTGAAGGCAGATTTCCCTCCTTCGTCGCTGTTGCTGCCGCCATACGCGCTCTCCCTGCTTAGGTAAGCTTCGGCCTTCGCTACAATCCGTTTTCATCTGCGCTTCTCCGTACCCATCCCGTCACATGGGTTCCTGATACCCTCTTCACAGGCGCTGGTCTGATCGCTGGGGCCTAGTTGGTTCGTTATTTCTGTAGCCTGCATCCCTTTCGAGAGCAAACTGTTCCTGGGGGGAGGAAGGGTAGCTAAGAGGGGGCCCAATCCAAGATGGTGTCCTCGGCGCCATTGTGTTCGCTTTGCTCCCTTCATCCAGTGGGTTCTTCTCATATTGGAGGCCCCATCATCAATGAGAGGCGGCGCTAGGCGTCCCTTGGTCTTGGTATTTGCGGAGGGCGGGGCTCTTCTCACCTTCCTTGTCTTTTTTTGGGCCCTTTCTCGGCCCACGATGGGGCTGGGAGGAGGAGCCGGTTGGATTTTTCTCACCTCGACTTGCCCAACCTAATCTGGAGTGCCTTCCAAGTGTTTACGATTGGTGTCATTGTATGTTTCTCAGAAAGGAGTCTCACCTTCGTAGCGCAACAGTGATGTGAGACCACTTGGTAAAGATTTTGTCGAAGCCTGGGTGGGGATTGCCTTTCTCTGTCAACTCTTAGCTTATTGTAGGGTGGAGACGTGAAATTTTTTGTTGTTGTTGCTGAGCCATTTGTCTTGCACTGCCCGCCCCATGCTAATTACACAAGGATATCTTAACGGAAGGGAGGGTACTGAGAAGTGGGAGGTGGACGGCGGCCATATGATGTTTTCCTTTCGAAAGGTGAGCGCTTTGCGCAGTGATGACCCTCATCTATCACCCTTGACTGATGGCTGCTGAGTTAGGCATCTGCACGTTGGGATTATAATAGGGAAAGCGCGGTCCTATGAGGATTTTTCGGACTCTGTCATCTCCATTTTCCACTTCTCCAAGTTATTAGTAGTATTTTATCCTTTATTATCTATTTTGTTTCCTCCTTGTTACTTTCAGATCAAGAATTTATTTTTTTTTCTTTTTATTTATTTATTTTTAAAGATGGGGTTTCACCATGATGGCCAGGCTGGTCTTGAACTCCTGACCTCAGGTGATCCACCCACCTCGGCCTCCCAAAGGGCTAGGATTACAGGCGTGAGCCACTGCGCCCGGCCCAGATCAAGAATGTATAAGTTGGTCTTCCTGTTCCAACTTTTCTGGTTTCTGCTACTCGGATTGCTAATCTTGTTGGGATCCTGTGTCCTAAGCATTTTCCCTGGGACTGCTTTTTCTATGCTGTTTTATTTGCTTTTCGCTTGTATGTTTTGTATCTGTTTCTCTTTCCAGGTAAAAGTTTCCCAGTTTAGGGGAAGTGGGAACTGGGGATGGAAAAGAGGAGGTGAAGGCTCTGCTTATGACTAAATCTTGCTTTTTTTTTCTCCCCCCCCCCCCCCGCAGCTCTTCTTTTAGAAACTAGTATCTTTGCTTTCCTTTGCTGTTCATCAACCCCCTAATTTTCACCCCTTGTTTTCACCTATTTTCCAAGAACCCATCCAGAGCCCCCTTCCCTTTTTCCCCTGCCGGCCCAGTTATGGCAGAGAACGATGTAGACAATGAGCTCTTGGACTATGAAGATGATGAGGTGGAGACAGCAGCTGGGGGAGATGGGGCTGAGGCCCCTGCCAAGAAGGATGTCAAGGGCTCCTATGTCTCCATCCACAGCTCTGGCTTTCGTGACTTCCTGCTCAAGCCAGAGTTGCTCCGGGCCATTGTCGACTGTGGCTTTGAGCATCCATCAGAAGGTAAATTTTCTCTTGGGCATGTATGCTCATTAGGCTCTTTAAGGATGATAAAAAGATGTGTTCATTGTTGCTCAGGTGGTAAAGGTTTATACTTAAGGCTAGATCAGGACCAGTTGCAGTCGCTCATTCCTGTAATCCCAGCACTATGGGAGGCCAAGGTAGGAGAGGGTCAGTTGAGCTCAAGAGTGCAGGAGAAGCCTGGGAAACCTAGGGACTCCTGTCTCTATGAAACGTTCAAAAATTAGCCAGGTGTGGTGGCGTACACATGGAGAGGTATGGCAAGCCAGGGGAGGATTGCTTGGGCCCTGAAGATTGGGGCTGTAGTGAACCATTATTGTACTACAGTACGCCAGCCTGGGTGACAGCAAGGGAAAAAAAAATCAGGAGATAAGTATCAAAAACAATTTTGGATATAGGAGGCTTATACAGGTTTATTGTTTCTTTTATGATAGCAACAAAGTGCCAGTGATCCAAGAGTAACTTATAGGTCTGCTCTTCATTCTTGTGACTGGCTTTTCTTCTCCAAGACGGAGTCTTGCTCTTTCGCCAGGCTGGAGTGCAGTGGCGTGATCTCAGCTCACTGCACCCTCCATCTCCTGGGTTCAAGTGATTTTCCTTCCTCAGCCTCAAGAGTAGCTGGGACTATAGGCATGCACCACCTTGCCTGGCTGATTTTTTTTTGTATTTTAGTAGAGATAGATTTCATCATGTTGGCCAGGATGGTCTCAATCTCTTGACTTCATGGTCAGCCCACCTCGGGCTCCCAAAGTGTTGGGATTAAGGCGTGAGCCACCATGGCCGGCCTTGTCTGCTTATTTTTAATTTTGTCACTTCTAATTTTAAATTTCCAGAGAGCTCCTGGTTGGACCTGTAGACCCCCTTTGTTGGGCCAGGCCACCTGTGGTCTCTGGAAGCCTCTGTGACTGGTTTAAAGATGACTGGCTTCTGGGTCAGGTACCAAGTCCTTCATTTCGTTCAGGGTTGCAGTTATGTGATCCAAAGTAGGGCAGTCTAAGTAGGAAAAATGACCTGTGGCAGGTGTTCAAATGTCATGAATTGTTAAAGATTAAGAAAAATAAAGAAAGAGTCAGGAGCATTGAAGGTGATCAGTTGGTAGGTGCAAGGGAGTTGTTAGTAGGACTGGGAAGGCCTGGACCTGGAGGAGGGTGAAGCTAGGAGGAATGAGGAGTGTTTGATTTTGAGGTGAATGTGGTTGAAGGAGCAGAGAGAGGTAGAAAGTCTGGAAGTTGTCAAGAACCAAGTACATACTAGACTTTGAGAATTGAGTGGTAAGGAATGGGGTTGGCATGATGAAAAAGGTGGTAGAGTTATCTGGAGACTGGAGTCTAATTTATCTTTCCTCCCCCCTTCTTTTAGTCCAGCATGAGTGCATCCCTCAGGCCATTCTGGGAATGGATGTCCTGTGCCAGGCCAAGTCGGGCATGGGAAAGACAGCAGTGTTTGTCTTGGCCACACTGCAACAGCTGGAGCCAGTTACTGGGCAGGTACATTTGGGGAGAGTGCTGGGGAAGGGATTTTGGTTAGGATTATAAGGGAAAGGGGTTTTTGTCCTAGCTACATGATGCTTGCAGAGCCATGAGCACATAACCGCTGTTAGCCTTGACAACCTGACAGCTGTGGGGAATGTTCTGTTGCAAGCATAGAGTTCATGATTTAGGTCACAGAATTAAAGTCATTTATCACTGGCCAGGTATATTTTTGTGACAATCACTTCCCTAGAGGAGATAATGAAGGGCTGTACTTACTGTATGTCTCCATCTACTTCCTGCCTAAGGTGTCTGTGCTGGTGATGTGTCACACTCGGGAGTTGGCTTTTCAGATCAGCAAGGAATATGAGCGCTTTTCTAAATATATGCCCAATGTCAAGGTAAGTCAAGGTAAAGAGACCTGAGAGTGAGGATGTGGCAAGTTGGAGGGATGAGAAACTTAATTTTGGAGAAACTATAGTTTGCCTTGGTTTAACAGAGTGTTAAGATCCTGTATAACAGGAGGATTCATTTCATAAGTGGGCTATGGATGATGCTCAAGACCACCCTTTTCTTACTACTTCATACTGAATTGAATCCTATCAGTTTGATCATTTTGAGGTGTGTGGCAGAGAAAGCTAGAAACTTTAAAAACAGCTCCAGTGGTGAGAATTTTGAGGATTCTGGCCAAGCATGGTGGCTCACTCCTGTAATCTCAGTACTTTGGGAGGCCAAGGTGGGTGGACCACTTGAGGTCAGGAGTCCGAGACCAGTCTGGCCAACACGGTGAAATCCTGTGTATGAAAAATGCAAAAATTAGCCTGGCGTGGTGACATGCACCTGTAGTCCCTCCTACTTGGGAGGCTGAGGTGGGAGAATCCCTTGGAACTGGGAGGCAAAGGTTGTAGTGAGCTGAGATTGTGCCACTGCACTCCAGCCTGGGTGACTTGAGACTTGGTCTCAAAAAAAAAAAATTTTTTTTGTTTTTAAATTTAAGTTAAGCATTTTTGGCAAGAATGCTGCATAGGTGATGCTGTATCTCCTGTTATGCCACAAATCTGGTTGATCTATCTTTTTTTATTTTATTTTTATTTTATTTCGAGGTGGAGTTCTCTGTTTCTCAGGCTGTGAGTGCAGTGGTGCAATCTCAGCTCACTGCAACCTGTGCCTCCCAGGTTAAAGTGATTCTCCTGCCTCAACCTCCCGAGTAGTTGGGACTACATAGTGCCATCACGCCCAGCTAATTTTTGTATTTTTAGTAGCGACAGGGTTTCACCATGTTGGCCAGGTGGATCTCAAACTCCTGACCTCAAGTGAGCCACCTACCTTGGTCTCCCAAAGTGCTGGGATTACAGGCGTGAGCCATCACGCCTGGCCTCGTTAGAGATTTTAGATTTACGGTGGGATTAGTGTCATGACAGTTTGATTCCATGGTTCTTCTTTTCCCCCTTGAAACTAGAAAGTAGTTTCTGGTGTTACTTGATAGTGTACCAAGGCCCAGATCCCTAAATAACTATTCACCTAATGGATTTAACATGGAGTGATAATATTTAACCTCAAGCAATAATTTCATGGGGTTTGTGTGGAGATTCTGGGTTTATTTAGGATAACTTGATGTTTCGTGTGTTTTTTGTGGTACTTTACACTCATCTGGTGATTTCTTGCTGTTGTTTATTTATTACTATATTACTATTTGAGACAAGAGTCTTGCTCTGTTACCCAGGCTGGAGTGCAGTAGCATGATCTGAGCTTACTGTAACCTCTGCCTCTCGGGTTCAAGTGTTTCTTGCTGCCTCAACCTCCCGAGTAGCGCCCGCCACTGCGCCTGGCTAATTTTTGTATTTTTAGTAGACATGGGGTTTCACCATCTTGGTCAGGCTTATCTTGAACTCCTGACCTCGTGATCCACCCACCTCGACCTCCCAGAGTGTTGGGATTGCAGGCATTAGCCACTGCACCCGGCCTATATTTATTTTTTATTTATTCCTTGAGGTGGAGTCTCCCTCTGTTGCCCAGGCTGGAGTGCAGTGGCTTGATCTCCACTCACTGCAACTTCTGCCTCCCAGGTTCAAGCAATTCTCCTGCCTCAACCTCCTGGGTTATTTTTGTATTTTTAGTAGAGATGGGGTTTCACTGTATTGGCCAGGCTGGTCTTGAACTCCTGGCTTGAAGTGATCCACCTGCCTTGGCCTCCCAAAATGCTAGGATTACAGGTGTGAGCCACCGAGCCCAGCCTTATTTTTATTTTTATTTTTTGAGATGGTGTATCCCTCTTGTCACCCATGCTGGAGTACAGATCGTGGCTCACTGCAACCTCTGCCTCCAGGTTCAAGTGATTCTCGTGCCTCAGCCTCCCAAGTAGCTGGGATTACAAGAATGTGCCACCATACCTGGCTCCTTGATTTTTTAAATGAAGCCTGGCCTCATAAATGAAGGAAGATGGTTAGATTAAGTCAGAAGAACTGAATTCTTGTCCTGACTGTTCTGAGTAGTTCTGTAACTTGAGGCAATCACTTTTGTTATAAACCTCAGTGTTTGGTGGGGCGACATAAAATTTTTAAATTAGGTGACCTCTAAAAGTTTATTGTAGTTTTGAAACATGCTAAAAATTGGTTTAGCTCAAACTGAGAGTGGGAACCCTGGGGGGATTGGACTCTTTCCTTCCTTGTTTTTGAGACTCTTTGCTCTTGGCTTGGCAGGTTGCTGTGTTTTTTGGTGGTCTGTCTATCAAGAAGGATGAAGAGGTGCTGAAGAAGAACTGCCCGCATATCGTCGTGGGGACTCCAGGCCGTATCCTAGCCCTGGCTCGAAATAAGAGCCTCAACCTCAAACACATTAAACACTTTATTTTGGATGAATGCGATAAAATGCTTGAACAGCTCGGTGAGTGGCAGTGCTGGGGCTTGGCTAATGCTGGGGAGTTGTTCTTTGGAGCCAAATGATGTTTATTTGAAACAGGAGCACCTCAGTGTAAGGACGACTCTTATCTATCACCCATGACTGATGGCTCTGGGTTCCCTGGTTGGTTTTTATTCTTTTAAGCACAGTAAGGGGGTCATCTATCATCTTTCTATGATTTCTTTTTAACCTTTGAGAATAGGGGACTTTGATAATTTAGGCATAAGTCGTCACCACCACTACCCTTTCCATTAAATATTTCTGTACTGGGAGTCATAGGGGATATTCTAAACTGAAGGAGAAGACTGTCTACCCTTATGGCATCTCCAGCACAACATACACAGTCAGAATTTATACCTGAATCAGTTTCTAGACTCGGGTCTGAAATTAATGTAGAGAGTGTTTGTAGGAGTTCATGTGGTGTGGTTATTCTAGTGCTAAGTGGGGTTAATGAAGAAAGATTTTTCTGTCAGAATTGAATCTTGGTAAATGAGAGTGGGGATGGACATAGGCTCCAGAGAAAAGTTATTACAAATGATCTTTGGCAATTCAATATGGCGAGCTATAAAGGTGGGCTCCAGGTAGAGATGTCTTATTTGTCCAACTGGATAGAAAAGTGATCCAGAGGGTCATAGATGAACTTTGATAGCTGGAATGTAATATGTGCTTGATATTTGTAGTCTGCTGAAGGCTGGCCTGGGCTTGGGCAGGAAAGAGTTGGGAGAATGGCCTGTAAAGCATGTTTTGAAGGCCTTATGCCTGAGAGTATCTGCACAGGGCTTTGTCCCCATTTTATAGTTGTGAACTTCGGGGTTTTTATCTTTCTTGCTTAAACAGTTGGAATATAATTCCAATTCTTGATTCCAAGTTCATTGCAGTCTTCACCTCACTGGGAGGTCTACCTTTAATCTTTACTATACCTGCTTATTTTCTCCTACAATTCTTTTCTTGTTCTCATAGACATGCGTCGGGATGTCCAGGAAATTTTTCGCATGACCCCCCATGAGAAGCAGGTCATGATGTTCAGTGCTACCTTGAGCAAAGAGATCCGTCCAGTCTGCCGCAAGTTCATGCAAGATGTAAATACCCTTCTACCTTCTCTCCCTCCACTCCCCGCCCGCTGCCTCCTCCCCTTCCTCGCCCTCTTCCTCCAGACTCCCTTGTCATTCAAGTGCCAAGAAGTCGGCTTATGCCCAGCTGGGAGTAACGACTCCTTGAAGAGACATACAGAAGCAGAGACAGCTAGTGTTAGGGTCTGCGCGGGTGCCAGGGAAACTCCGGAAGACTTGGTCGGGTTAATGTGAGAGCGGGTAGTGTTCGACTTTTTCTCAAAAATCGCAACATTTTTGAACCTCTTCTCCTTTTGGGGGAGGGCAGGATTTTTCTGCCCTACCACCCACCCATCGTGTCTTACGTGCCCCCTACAGCCACGCATCCTCAAGGTGGCATCGAGCATACAGCTGGAGCCTTCTGCTCACCAAAACTCCTACTTCCCAGTGGCAGGAGAGCAAGAGAGGGACAGACAGATGGCAGGGCATGTCCAAAAGAAGAGCATCAGCACAGATGAATCCTCCCCTTCCCCACCTCCAGGGGTGGGGGCCTTTGGCACCTCAATCCCCGATACCCTACTCCTTCCCACCCACATCTCCTTGCACCCATCCGGAACCTCGGTTGATGTGAGCCGGCAACAGAGAAGCACCGTGGCGCGGCGAGGGAATGCGGACGGCACCCAGCGGTGGATGGCGGCAGCGGAGGCCGCGGGGAAACCTGACCAGGAAGCTGAGGACCAAACCAGCCTCTTTTTCCGTTCCCGGTTTTTTTCCTGAACCCAACGCGTGCCGTGCCCCGTTTCCCCCCATATGTGTTGGGGAGGGGTGTCCTGAATGGGGTGGTAGATTTTTTTTTTTTTTTTTTTTTTTTCTTAAAAAAATTTTTTTTATTACTCAGAGGAGAGGGACATAGGAAAGGTAAAGTAGATGTAATCGGGTGAGTGTTAGGGTTTGGGGCTAGGTGGGTCCGATTGCATAAGCAGTGGAGTGTGTTCTTCCCCTCCCTGCAGTGTTCCTTCCTGTGGGATAACTCTTTATCTGTATTTGGGGCTAGAATGAAATTTCAAGGAGGCCATGGAACTTGTCTTTAAAAAGCCTGCCTTGGCTGAGCATGGTGGCTCACCTCTAATCCCAGTGCTTTGGGAGGCCAAGGTGGGAGGATTGCTTGAGCCCATTGAGACTAGCCTAGGCAATGTAGTGAGACCTTGTCTCTACCAAAAAAGCTGGGTGTGGTGGCACATGCCTGTGGTCCCAGCTATCTGGGAGGCTAAGGCAGGAGGGTTTGCCTGAGCCCAGGATGTGGAGGCTGCAGTAAGCTGTAATTGTGCCACTGTACTCCAGCCTGGGTGATAGAGGCCCTGTATCAAAAAAAGAAAAGAAAACCTGCCTTGTTTTTTTTTTCCTATGGTACATGCATCATTTCCTATTTGGGCCGCGGGGTCTTCATGTTAACTATCTTTCCTAGGATAGTATAAAAAGTGTTAGGAAAATTGGGTTTTGGAGTTGTGCTAATTTCTGTATGTTACTTTCCTCCCCTTCAGGGGGGTCTTGGTTGTTTTAAAGATGAATGCAGTAAGGTGTGGTGGTATGTGCCTGTATTCCCAGCTATTCAGGAGACTGAAACCGGAGGATTACTTGAGCCCAGGAATTTGAGGCTGTAGTGTGTTATGATTGTGCCTGTGAATAGCCACCGCACTCCAGCCTGGGCAACATAGATCCTGTCCCTTTAAAAAATGCATATCTGCTGCTCTGAATTTGGTTTTTAATACCACTTACTGATACCTTCCCTGTAAGCCTGTAGATGGTTTAATTCATAGTCAAGAGACCAGTCTCATCTAAAACTACCCTGTTGTGGTCTGACGGCAAGTTACTCATCTTGAGTAATTTTTTGTTTCTCCGTAAGTGGCTTTTTTTTGACTGTCCATTTTAGCATTCGGATCTTAAAAGACATCCACTTTTCTAATGTACGTGAGATTCTCTTAGTTGAAGTAGGAGAATCAAATGGAGCAGTCGTCCTCCCCCCCAACCCCATGTTCTTACAAGCAACTCTGATGGAGTTATTCTGACCTTGAGTCATTGCCTCTCATCATTTCCCAGATGTTTGGGCCTTGCTCTCCCTTTGAGAATCCTCTCCCATTTTCTTTCTTCTCCCACCTCTATACGAGGTAATGGCATCTATGCCATTGGGTGGTTTCACTGCTCCTTTATGTCCTTTGCAAAGTTTCTTTCCCATGATAGTTTTTAGTGGGGCAGTCTTAAAACTCAACTGATAGTAAGGAAATTAGATGTAATGTGAGAGAGACCACAGTAAAATGTGGGTATTTTTGGGAGTGGGGTGGGGTTTTCAATCTTCTCTTTCCTCCTCCCCATCCCCCCATGGGGTGTATTGGAGATCAACTTCCTCCACCCCCCCAGGTTTAACCCCCCCACTCTGCCCTCCTCCCGTTCCCCACCCCCTTCCTCCCCCCCAGCCAATGGAGATCTTCGTGGATGATGAGACGAAGTTGACGCTGCATGGATTGCAGCAGTACTACGTGAAACTGAAGGACAACGAGAAGAACCGGAAGCTCTTTGATCTTCTGGATGTCCTTGAGTTCAACCAGGTCAGTTACATGTCTAATAGGGGGATGAGCATTGGAGCACTCCAGCTGTAGCAGAAACCTGAGTATTAAGTACACTTTTATTGAAACCACGTGTGTGATGTGGGAGAGAATGGTGAGGGTATAAATAGAGAGGCCGAGCATGAGCAAGATGGAAGCTGCTGTTCTATTCTGTGGCTGGCATGGATCTGTCCTCAATAATCTCTAGGAAAATAAACTTAAAAAATTAAGATCCTTGGCCAGGCATGGTGGCTTATGTATGTGATCCCAGCTCAGCACTTTGGGAGGCTGAGGCAGGTGGATCACTTGAGCCCAGGAGTTTGAGACCAGCCTGGGCAACATGGTGAAACTTCATCACTACCAAAGAAGAAAAAAATTAGCCAGGTGTGGTGGTGTATGCCTGTAGTCCCAGATACTCCAGTGGCTGAGATGGGAGGATAGCTTGAGCCCAGGAGATTGAGGGTGCAGTGAACTATGATTGCACCACTGTGCTCCAGCTTGGGCAATAGAGAGAGATTGTCTCCAAAAAAAAGTTTTTAGGAAAGGTTTTAGGAAGTTGTTAAAAGCCTTAAAACGACTTTTTGGGGGGCATGTTAGGGCACTTAAATGTTCAATTCTTCTAATACTGCTTACAAGAAGCATTTCTGGCTTGGTGCAGGGCAGTGGCTCATGCCCATCATCCCAGTACTTTGGGAGGCTGAAGCAGGAGCATTGCTTGAGCCCAGGACTTCAAGACCAGTCTGGGTAACATAGGGAGAACCCCATCACTACAAGTAGTGGGAAAAAAAATAGTAGCTGGGTGTGGTGGGTGGCATGCACCTGTGGTCCCAGCTGCTTGGGATGGTGAGGTGGAAGGATCTCTTGAGCCCAGGAGGTGGAGGCTGCAGTGACTCAGGATTGTACCACTGCATTCCAGCCTGGGTGACAGAGTGAGACACCATCTCAAAAAAGCATTTCATTAATATACTTGTGAGTGGTCTATTTGCATTAAAAACTACTTTCTAGAATTAGGATAGCTTCCTTAGGTTTAATGTTTTGGTGAGCAGGAATATCAGTCACTCCTCCAGATCTTAATTCTAGTTTTTTACCACTTTTTCATGAGGTGACCTCATCCTTGTCTCCTGCCATGTCTGGCAATTTTGGTTTCTGAACTCTACCTCAGAGGGCAGCCTCCTTAGGTAAAAATCAGTGCTGAGAAAAAGTATTTCCTCTTCTGCTCTAAATATATAGTGGGGGAACAAGAGATGAAGAGGAATTCCTGAGAACATAATTACTGGAAATTCTTCTCTCCCACATAATGTCTCTCACACCATGGACCCCTATTCCCCAATTCCTGGCCCCCCTCCCCTCCACCCCGAGACAGGTGGTGATCTTTGTGAAGTCTGTGCAGCGGTGCATTGCCTTGGCCCAGCTACTGGTGGAGCAGAACTTCCCAGCCATTGCCATCCACCGTGGGATGCCCCAGGAGGAGAGGTGAGTTGAAGATGGGAAAGATGTTTTACATCCTTGGGAGAAAAAGACAATTGAGAGAAGGGAGTCTCAACATTTTTTAAATTTCCTTTCTCACAAAGGCTTTCTCGGTATCAGCAGTTTAAAGATTTTCAACGACGAATTCTTGTGGCTACCAACCTATTTGGCCGAGGCATGGACATCGAGCGGGTGAACATTGCTTTTAATTATGACATGCCTGAGGATTCTGACACCTACCTGCATCGGGTAAGCCCCACATGCTGAAGAAATCCCGTTCTCCCATTACCTTCTTTTCTATATCTTTTTGTACATTACATCTTCATCCTTGCCTCTGGGAGTCTCTTTCCTCTTGGGTCCTCAGTACTACCCTCTGTCTCCTTCCAGGTGGCCAGAGCAGGCCGATTTGGCACCAAGGGCTTGGCGATCACATTTGTGTCTGATGAGAATGATGCCAAGATCCTCAATGATGTGCAGGATCGCTTTGAGGTCAATATTAGTGAGCTGCCTGATGAGATAGACATCTCCTCCTACAGTGAGTACTGATCTCATGAAACCCTTTAGATCATCCCTGTTCCTCAGTGTGTTGGTCCTAAATCCCATCATCTAGGTCATGGGCACCTGATGTGTAATGGACACTTGACCGGTTCATGTCCCCTGGCCTTTGATGCTGTGTTGGGTTATTTTCCTGACCTGTGTGTGGGGTCTTTGTCTTCTCTCATCATATTACATCCCTTCCCTCACCCGCATGTCTGTCCTCTGAACCCATACAGTACACCAGTATCTGCATGTATACTGTGTGTTCCTGCCTTGCTTTCCCCTTTTCATGCCTTATTCTGACCATGCTACGTTTTCTCCTCAGTTGAACAGACACGGTAGAGGACTCGCCCATTCTGGAATGTGATTGTCTGGCCTTCAGGAGAGGACAGGGTGGGGGTGAAGGAGACACTACTGCCCCCATCCCTGACAGCCCCCACCCCATGGCTTCCGTCTTTTGCATCACCACCACTCCTGAACCCCCATTTCTGATTTGTCAGAATTTTTTTTAACAAAACTAAAAATGAAACACACGTGTCTGTGGTATCTGTAAGTGCTTCGTCCCTTTATTGTATTTGGGGTGAGGTTATTTTAGGTCGTGGTCCTGAATAAATTCCCTGTAAGGCCTGGGTGCCCTGCTGTGAGGTCAAAGGGAGATGGGACTAAGACTCCAGAGCCCTGGCTCCCCCACTACCTGCCAATTGCCTGTGCTTTGTGGGGGGGTCTCTTCTGCTTTCTCTGCTCTGAGAGTGGCTTGGGTGTTTCTGATCCTGAAGTCCCTGGGGGGTGACGCACAGTATTTCCAGTGCCAGAGGGTGCTGTGGGCACTGGGGAAAGCTTAGGCACTGCCTTCCAGGCTCTCTCGGTGCCGCCTCATCTGTTCCTTCAGCTTCTGGATCTTGAGCACCAGGGCTTGGGCTTCCCAGGCTCCTTCCTGCCCTTCCAGGAGTGCCTGGTATAGCTCCAACTGCTGCTCCAGCAGCTCCTCAGCTTGGGCCAGCTCAGCTGTGCGGTGGGTCCCAGGGCCCTGGTAGGGGAAGTAGGGGAGGGAACATCAGCCAGGGCAGGGGTCAGAAGCCCTGGGAAGTGAGAAATTCCACCTTCCCTATCTGTTTTTGACCTGGTAGCCTTTATTGAGAAGCCCAGGGAGCTCCCTCTCTTGGGCATAGGCCTCTGCGGGACAGCCCAGAGGCTGTAACCGGATGCCTTGAACAAGGATATGGGGTCACTGGAAAGGACCAGCTGCCCCTTTCTGCTAAGAAATAATTAACTGTTAGATGAAGGGGAATTCCTGTTCAAGGACTTTGTGGACTGTGCTGTTGTGGGTGTGGGTGGGGGAAGGGAGCCTAGAGGTCTGGGCTGGGGGAGGGGAGGGGAGGGGAGGAGAAGAGCTGGTAGCTGAACTGAAAAAGATGCAGGAGTAAGGGTGGTGCAGGGTGGGATTGATGGTTTTTTCCCCCACCTCAGTACAAACTCAAACCCTCTGTCCCTACCCTTGGTCCCACTTACCCTGGGCGGGGATGTCATCTTCTCATTGCCTCTGGAGCTGGTCTTTTCCGTGTTTGCCTTGGGGTTTTGGGAGCAGCACCCACGGGAGCCCTGGGGTGGCAGGGACCAGGAGGGCAGGAGGAGGCGTAGGAAATGGCACCGAGAGAGCCAGGACAGAGGGAGGACCATGGCGGGTGACCTGGCAGGGAGCTGTCTGAGCTGCCCAACAGCCACCAGGAACTGGTTCCCTCCAGGCCTTGGCCTCACTTCAGTGCCTGGCCCTGCCCAGGCCCCGGCCACCAGCCCTGCCCCTGCCCCACTCTGCCCCCACCTCTCCCAGCCTACCCCCAGTCAGAGTCCAGGAACACTTCCTGAGGTGAAAAATGTTCCTGCTAGTTTAGGCAGAACTTGCTTCAGAGTGCTGGTGCCCAGCCTACCACAGGTTGGTTTTTTGTTTTTATTGTGCTAAAGTGTTTATTAGGTAGGAATTTTACAAACATTACTTATATTAGCGGTAGCTGCGGAGCTGGAGAGTATTGTGTCGTCTCCAAGCTTCGTGGCAAGAACCACCAATAGTGTGGCAGAACTTCAGGCCTTTCCAATTTGGCCTGCAGATGTCAGCCCATGCGTCTTCCTGTGCTTGTGGACTGCTTTGGTGATCCACTGGGAGTCAGGTTTCCTTCTGATAGTGTTATGGAATGGCTCAACTAGGATAACCCCCCAAAAATTTGTACATGTAATCTTCAACCCAGTAAGAAGTACTCAGAGCTGCACAGTGGCACCCAGCTTGCTTCTCTGCAACAGACTGAAGGCTGTGAGCAAAGTAGCCGGTGAACACCATGATAGGCTTGTAACTTGTATTCTTTTTTTTTTTTTTTGAGATGGGAGTCTTGCTCTGTCACCAGGCTGGAGTGCATGGTGCAGTCTTGGCTCACTGCAACCTCTGCCTCCTGGGTTCAAGCAGTTATCTGCCCCAGCCTCCCTAGTAGCTGGGATTACAGGTGCCCACCATCACACCTGGCTAATTTTTGTATTTTTAGTAGGGATGGGGTTTCACCATGTTGGCCAGGCTGGTCTTGAACTCCTGACCTCGTGATTTACCCACCTCTGCCTTCCAAAGTGTTGGGATTACAGACATGAGCCACTGTGCCTGGCAGCCTGTATTCTTAGGAACTGGGTTTTTGGCCACCACCAAGCTTATGGTATGGAATTTCGGCCACCACCAAGCTTATGGTATGGAATCCTACCTACCTTATAACGTAACCTTGCTTGGCTGTAGCCCAGTAGTGTGCTTTATTAGACTGGGTGGGAATCCCTATGGAAAGCAGAGAGCTGGTGGTATTGCCAGCAGTGGACCCTCAGAAGAAAGCGAATGACATCAGATTGCTGCTTCCATAGCTCCTAGATGTACTTGTGTGCATCATCTTAGCTTACCCTGCTGCCAGACAGAAAGGAAAGGCTACCATAGGTCTTGTGTCTTTCTTAACACTGTCTTTTCTCACTTCTCCACTCTGCAAGGTAGGAATTACATCACTGGTTCGCACCTGTGATGTAATTGGCTCAGATGATTTTGTTCGACACTCAGTGGGCAAGTGTTTATTGGGGTCAGCTCTGGGCTAGATGTGCTTGAGGCTCCACAGCTGGTGGATGGAAGGTCCTGGAGGGTTCATGTCCAGGTCCACCTGATTTGAAAACTCACCCTGGCCTTGCTTAAGTGCTGATTCCCCTTTTGCCAATGCTACTCTTTCTTTTATTGTGCTTCCCTTTATTGCTCTTTGCAGACGCTGTTTTTTATTTACATCAATCTATAAATAAATGAGAGGTTTGTGGTAACCCTGTGTCAAACACATCAAGCAGGTCTGTTGGTGCAGTTTTTTCCAACAGCGGACAGACACGTATCTGTGTCACACTGGTAATTCTAAAAACGTTTCGAGCTTTTTCATTATTATACCTGTTACAGTGAGCTGTAATTAGTTACTGAAGTTAACTATTGTGATTGTTTTGGAGCACCATGAGCCACACTCATATAAGACAGTGAACTTAATGGAAAAATGTGTGTGCTGTGACTGCGTCACCAACTGGTCATTCTCCTGGCTCTGCTTTCCCGGCCCTCCCTATTCTCTGAGGCACAACAATATTGAAAGGCATAATCTATGATGCAACTGGCAAACGTCATTGCCTTATTTTAAGACGTTGTCAAAGCAAAGCAGCCTTCAGCAACCACGCCCCTGATCTATGGAGGCAAGACCCTCTCCCAGCAAAAAGAGGATTAGCTGAAGCCTCAGGTGATTGTTAGCATTTGTTTAGTAATAAAATATTTTAAAATTAAAGTTTATGGCTGGGCATGATGTTTTATGCTTGTAATCCCAGGACTTTGGGAGGCTGAGGCGGGTGGATCACTTAAGGTCAGAAATTCAAGATCAGCCTGGCCAACATGGTGAGATCCCATCTCTACTAAAAATACAAAAATTAGTTTAGCCAGGTGTGGTGATGGGCTCCTGTAGTCCCAGCTCCTGGAAGGCTAAGCAGGAGAATCGCTTGAATTCAGGAGACGGAAGTTGCAGTGAGCCAAGATTGTGCCACTGCACTCCAGCCTGGGCTACAGAGTGAGACCCTGTCTCAAAAAAAAAAAAGTATACACTTTTTTTTTGTATACAATGCTACTCTACACTTAGCAGACGACAACATAGTGCAAACACAACCTTTATATACAATAGGAAACTAGAAAGTTTGTGTGACTTGCTTTATTGCCATGGTCTGGTGACTAATCTGCAGTATCTCTGAGGTATGCCTGTAATTTCCCTTTCCCTCTTCTTGCTGGCCCAGAATGACCTTGTTTCTTGTCCCTGTCTAGCCCTGCATGTTGTAGGGGTTTGCCTACTCTGGTAGGTCTGGAAACTTTGTATCCCTGGTAACCTTGGCTCCTGGCATATGACACTGGTACAGGCCTCAAGCTCTGCTGGACTAATGAGCCTCACCCCACACCTCCTGAAACTAGAACCAAAGTCCTGTGCACACACCATGCATGTGTGAGCCTGTGCAGAGATGTCGGCTTCCTGCAGGGTGTTCTGAAGAGGTGTCCTGTTGTGACTGGAGGACACAGCCACTGGCTTGGAGGCAGAGGTGGCTCAGAAGGGAGTGGCTGGTCTCAATTTTGATCATCTGGGAACAGGAAGGTCCATAGAAAACCATGTGTCAGAAGACAGGATTGCTGGAGAGTGCACAACTGCTAGCCAGCTCACTATCCAGGTATCACTCTGCACTGGGAAGGAAGATGGCCTTTGCCATGGTGTAGAAGTCCAGGAACCAGGCAGGGAGGCTTTCCCAGTGGTCAGGGCTTCTCACAGTTGGGGGCCAAAGCACTTTAGATGAGGCCAAAGACTTCACATTCCTTATTAGCTGACTTTTCCCCACTTAAGTGGAAAAAGAACCCAGAACCTTTGTAAAAGTTTTAGGGGAAAAGGGCTTTCCCTTTTGTCTCTTAGTGGTATGGTTATGCATGACTCATACTTTAATCGCAATGTGTACACAGCTTAAAAGTCTATTTTTTTTTTTTTGAGACGGAGTCTCAGCCTGTCACTCAGGCTGGAGTGCAATGGTGTGATCTCAGGTCACGGCAACCTCTGCCTCCAGGGTTCAAGCTATTCTGCCTCAGTTTCCTAAGTAGCTAGGATTACAGGTGTGTACTACCACGTCCGGCTAATTTTTGTATTTTTAGTAGAGACAGGGTTTCTATGTTGGCCAGGCTGGTCTGGAAGTCCTTTACCTTAAGTAATCTACCCACCTCGGCCTCCCAAAGTGCTGGGATTACAGACGTGAACCACCAAGCCTAGCCATTGCTTACTATCTTAAAATGCAAGTATGATCACACTATTATTCTTAAAACTCACGTTGACATTTAATTGCTATCCTAATGGTATGAAGATGTGGGACCTTTAGGAATTGATTAGGTTGAATGCATTAATGCCATTGTATGGGATGATACAAAGTATCAGTTCAGCCTCTTTGCCCTCCCACCGCTCACCATGGGATGGTACTGCA